TAAACGGAGACATAACAATATAGATTTTTGTGTGACATGTGATATGTTGAATGCAGCATTGGTTCAAATTAGATGTTTATGATGTCCAAATACAAAGTCTGTAGTTTATTACGAATAGGAAACTCAAATTACCGATACTGACAAGCTAGAATATAAAATAAGAACATCTTATATTTTTATTTGCTGAGATATCGCTACATTTACTGAATCAAACTCAGTGGCCCCGTCCATCTCTTTCCATTTTGGGAAACACTTGCATACACCTACTTCTGTCTATCATGTGTGAGTGACCAATCGAAAGCTCAGAATGTCCACACGTGGTTCTCCAAGCCTTTGCAAAGTATTTACACGGGAAACCCTTTCTTTTCATGGCAAATTTCAAGCAATAAGGTAAAGTTTTAGTGAACTAAAAGACAGCTTAGTTAGCAAGCTTGATAAATTATAGTGGAATTCTATGGTATTAATTTAGTAATTTATGTGCTATTTCAAAATGTGTATATAAAACTTAAAAAAAAAGAGTATTTTGTTTCACATCCTCCACCTGCTAAATTTGATAAGGCAACCCATGGCAAACATAAAACGAGTTTAAAGTTCGTAACTAGAAAAGATAATTACTTGCTACACTTCTTTATTTACTGTTCTGTATTTAAAAAAAAAAAACAAGTTTAAGGACTTATTTCTAAATAGTAATAACATATGTGCATATACAATTTATTAAGACCGAAATGTGACTGTATGTTACAAAATACTAGTCCACTAAAACAGCCAAGACAGGTTACTTTGTAAAGGCCAGTTATATATTCTTGGATTCAGTAAGATGAGTGAGTGCATGTGTGCCACTCATTGCAACTTCTGTAATGTTAGCCAGGCACAGCTGAAAGATCAATATGATAAAAATGTATAACGAGATTTCAGCTATTTAGACTAAACATGTGTTTTCGTGATATAATTAGTAGTCATTCTAGAATGAAAAAAGCATAATTTATATTTATTTCCTAATTTTTATGGTGGTTTCAAGGTCAGTCAAATCATCTCATCCCCTACAGAGATACAGTAGTGAAAGGAGGTTATAATGATTTTGCATGTGAAATTTGAAAATGTTGTGGTGCATAAAAGTATTTTTAATGGATATACAAGACTGTTCAGTTTAATAGTTATTATTTAGTGATTTAATATTTAATTTATTTTTCATAACAGGGGAGTTAAAAGTAAACATTTTAAAGGCGCTAGTTATGACAAGTTTTGTTGGGTAACTCTAGGAGTCATACTTTGTGGTTGCAATTACATTATTGTCTCGGCTGCACTAATATTGTTAACGTCATGTGACTCGAATCTTCGGTATTTTTCTCGTTACATTAACCGAGTATTGTTACCTTACAGTGTCGTTTAGAAAAAGTTCGAGGCTTCAGTTGGGAAAAGTATAAATATAGGCGACCAAGCGAGTGTTAGTCAAATGAAGTAAAGTGAAGTCAGGTGCAGTTCAGTCAGAAAATTAGTTAGCAAAAGAAAAAGTGAAGTTAAACGAGATGTGAGTGATTAACCATAACAGATGATATTTTAAAGCGAGTTTCTGTTTAATAGAAATAAGGAGAATAATTTGTCTTTTCAAAGGGTGTTCTAAAGTAACTGAACTCTTCTGTGTGGACTTTCATGACAAGGAGACAATTATTTGAAGTTCAGGATACATTAGTGATAACCAATGGGGTAGAGTAAGTGTATTATTCACTGATACTATTGTGATAAGAGTAGAGAAAAATATCTGTCTTGTCAATTGGATTCTAAAGTAATTGAATCTGCCTAAGTAGACTTTTGACAAGAAAAAATAATTATCTAGAGTTTAAGATACAGCTGTGATATTTTATAGTGTAAAGAATTTTTGTACGCACGTTTGACCTGTTTTGAATATGTTATTTTAAAACAAGTGGATTGAGTGCTGTCTGTTTATTGTTCGAATTTATCGCCAACAAGTCACAGACACCTAGTGTAGAAGAATCCTTATCACCCCGATATAGGTAAAAACATAACAATCTTAAAATCAAAATTATTTTGCATCTTGGTTTGTCAACATCAGAGAAGTAAAAAAAGTCAGCCAGTAATGGTAGGGCTAGTAGCATAGTTCCAGTTTGACTGTACTCCATTAATCAGTTTTGTTTTTTCTCATCTAACCATCTTACAGTTCTACTGACAAGTCTTACCCAACCTCCAAGCAATGTGATTTTCCTATCTAAAATCTTCTGTAGCACCTCAAATCTTTTTTTGTAACTCTAAGTACATCAAGTTTAAACCCTTTCCATCATCGAAAAACAAACCAGTATATACGATTAAATTGTAGATAACAAACACTAAAATCCGTTATGATTAATTATTTTTATTGTATTTTAAGCACTAAAAAAAAATAAAAAAACTGAACAGTCATGAACTTTTACTTCAACTCATATAAAGATCACCAGAAAGTTACTAACAGAATCAATAAGTTGTGTTATTATATTAAAAATATAATAATAATAGGACTTTTTCAGTTCAACCATACTCCTTACATCACTTCCTTCAGTATACGAACTGTTAGCAACCACATTTGTATTGCATTCATTCTTATACATACATACATATATATATATATATATATATATATAACTTACTTCTACACAGAACACTTTCTCTAAAGTATCCACGTAGTACTAGATGTACTTTCACTGGGTCCCAAAAATGTTTTGTTTCAAAAGTACATAAAACCAAAATTACGATTGACAAATATTTGTATTTCTTGC